GGCAGGGGACGGGAGGGGAGAAGGGCGGCGGCGAGGGGGGGGGGATCGGGGGTGAGGAGCCCCACCGCCCCGCCTCCTTGGTGGCTTACATCTCTGTGGAGCTTTGCCCGGAAAGGCAACGTTCACGTTCCCATCACAAGCGAGTCGGGAGCTGGAAAGCGGGACGCGCCCCCCCCCCCGAGCTAAAGGGTTTGCAACTTAGTCTCATCCGCATGGAAAGCACGGGTTGGGTTCGGTGTTTCAGGTCGTGGATGCCGGTGGGCTACGCCCAAGGTTTGCCCCCGTTGTGGTAGACGCATAGGGACTTGCTAAACCCTAAGATCCATTAATTCAAGGGGTTTGCTTTAACAGGGACTAGGGGCTGGGCTCAACCCCCCTATGAAACGAACTGCCATCTCTTTCGGAAGTGCAGCGCATGGGGGAAATGATTGCATTCTCTACCTCCTGTATCTTGCATGGTTTCTGGTCTTTGCCGCTACTTTTTTTTTAAAACTCTGCTTTATAATTAACCTAAAGCAACCCTCACTCGCAGCCGGGTTGTGGGAGCACACACCAAACGAGGACTAAAATCCTTCTGATTTAAGCATCCTGCCCACCCCAGACCTGGTGACCAGCTGTGGCAGATCAAGCTGTTTTCAGATGCACTTGAGGGACATTTAAGTATGTTTGATTTTAGAACCGGGTGTGGCGTGGCAGAAAATAAGAGAGAGAGAAGTTGTTTTGAAGGGGTGGGGTGGAGTACAGAGGACTGTTAGATTTGATGTAAGGTGCAGCCTGGGTTTCAGAAGGGGAAATCTTGAAGCAGCCGGACAGAGGGAGGTATGGGTGGGGAGGGGAGTACTTTGGAAGAGAGTAGAGTAGACATTTTTAGAATAGAAAATGTTTATACCCGCCTGTTCCAGAAATGGTCCAGGTTTGTTAAAACCAAACGCCTGGAAAACCTGGACCTGCTGCAGGAGATAGTGAACAGCTGTCAGCCAGGTGAGTTAGTCTGGGGCTGAGCACTTAGAGATGCCAGTCAGAGGTTGCTAATTTTGCTCTGGTCTCTTGGCTTGGCTGGATCTCTGAGCCGCCTGGAGGGGGTGTGCAAGGCTGGGCTATGTCTTCCCTGTCTGAGAACTCTGGTGGATTTGTTGAAGATTGGTGGAATGGAGTAATACATCATATGCCAACCTTTTGGGGGGGGGGATCCTCTCACACTTATGGAGGGGTGGGCTTTGCCTGAGGCAGGCTTCAGAAAGTATCCTGCATGTGTTTCTCCACTCTGTCTCTTCTGCAATCCAGGCTGTGGTCCCCCCAAGTTTTGCCATGCCTTCTAGAATAAAAAAAAACCCTTGACAGCAATTGCCTACCCATCACTAAGAGATTATGAGCTGGAATTTGGCAAGATTGTGGTTATGTTAGCCTCCTGTAGCAAAGCCAGTAAAAGAATCTTGTGGCAACTTTAAGTCTCTCGGTTCTGCCTGGTTTAAGGTTTCATGGGTTGCAGCCCATCACTCCAGGTGCACCTGAAGGAGTGGGTTACAATTCCACGCAGGTGTGTGCCTGATGAAAAGTGTAAGTCTTTAAAGTGCCTCCCACAAAACTCCTCATTGTTTGAGCTGAAACTTCTGATTATGTGTAGTTTTGGAGGGCGGGAGCCTGGGTCAGGGAGTGGAGAACAGTGTCCCTGAATTGCTTTTGAGGACAAGCACAGCGGTTGGATTGCAGCATTTGGCAGTGATGTCATTCAGACTTGTCAGCTGTAGAACTAAAAACAAAGTCAGTGTCATGCATCTGAAGATCTAGGCTGCTAACCATAAAACTGAACTTTATGATATTTTCCACCCAGAGTTAAGCCTGTATAATCCTGTTGCTTCCAAGGAGGCAGTGGGGCAGAAGGCTTAGATTGATGCCTAGTTCTTTACTATGGAAAACAGTGCACTTATTAAAATTTTATTTTCATCTTCGTCTTTATGGGCTGTTGTCCAGTTCATGATTTATACAAAGGTCCCATTGCTTGCTTAAATGACTCCTGTGTATATTTACTTAAAAATCTTTAATATTCTACAGTATGTTAGTGTATGTTCACACTTTCCAGTACAGTACATGTATTTGCGGACTGGCTCTTTAGTCTATATTTCTCTTTGGCGTTTGAAAATGAAATTTTAAGAGAGAGAGAAAAAAAAACAGCTCTTCTATATCCCAGTATTTTCTAGACTTCCTATGTATGTGTTATTTAGGTTTTTTTTTCTTGACTGTGGATATGTGATGAATTTTGTTAAATCAGCAGTAACAAGAGAGGGTTGTGCAAAAAAAAATCTAACTTTTTCATTTGCTGCTTAAGAGTCGTTAGTCCTGTCTTCTCCCTCAGGGCACTACAAAGAGATTAATAGATTTTTGACACTTGCCAGCCATCTGTCTCACATAGCTGATCAAAAGCTATGTCAGTTTTGTCAGTGACTGTGTGGAATAAATAAACAGTATTTTTACAAGGATATGTCTCTTGCTTCTTGCATGTGAATCTAATCACTGGATGGAAGTGTTTGCGGAACTGCATTGGTCAGCTCTATAAGTTCATTTTTTCTCCTAGAGGGAGCAGTTCTAGCTAGAAATAGTTCTCGTAATGCAGACCCTGTTAATGGAATGATCCCCTATGTAAGTGTTGATGCTCTGATTACATTGTTTAACCTGTCTGTGTGAGAAATGTGTGTTGATGTATTTGAAGTGGCAATTGCTTACAGTTATGTTGCTTTTGTTTAGACTTGTATATCAACCCATAGTACTAAAGCACCTTCTGGTCAATTTACAATATAATTGTGCAAAGAACACTTTGCCCCCTCAGTGAGCTGGGTAGTAATTTTATTAACCTCAGAAGGATGGAAGGCTGAGTCTGCTTTGAGCCGGCTGAATTTGTTGAGATCAAATCCAGGTGATGAGCAGAGGCTTGACTGCAGTACTGCAGTTTAATCTCTGCACCATGGGGCTCATTTTTAATAGATGTCTATCTTTGTTTTCCCTATCACTGAAGCTTATATTGTACAGTAGTTTGGTGGGCAATACACTGATAAACAATCCAACTTGAACCGCTTGCCTTGACTTCGAAAGCCTTGTCAAACTCAGCAACCACACCAAATTAGTGCAACCACTCTTTTATGAAGTCTATAGATTTTTATAAAGTCTAGTGGCTGTTAGAGAGCTTGCAAGCCACGAATGAAACTAAGGCTGCAGTCCAAAATGTGACTGAGAAAGAAGCTCTACTGCAGACGGTGTACTTTAGTTGCAAGAAAGTGTGTGGAGGGCTGAACCTAGAATCAAAATGTAAACATATTTGGTCAGTATTTTCTTTCTAGTCCTAAAGTGGACACGTCTGCAAATCCCACTGAATCAGTGGATCACCTTTAGTTGGCATTAAATACAGTGCTAATAGAAAATAACTATAGTGAATCTGTGTGGATAATAAAAGCCTAACCCCAAGCTAAAATGAGCATCAGAACAAGTATAAGGTACTCTCCTCCACCATATACATCAACTTAAATATGCTTCTTGGGGCAAGGACTGGTCTCTTTTGCTCACCTTAGTATGTGAGATACCATGTGTATTGACTCAATTATATAAACAATAATAATCTAGTCTCTGTTTGCACTTGTGTGCAATATTGTTCATGGTTTGTTTTGTAAATTGCTTCAACTGTGCAAAGAATATCCAGACCTGCTACTAGGACATCCTTAAGAATGTCTGGAAAACCCCTCTGTAA